AACTTGCATTAGAATAGTTTGTTGTATGTCATAAAAATAAATGTGCATGAAGTTCTTGCTGTTCCTTCTTTCTATCAGGCACTTAGAGAAAATTGGTATAAGATGTTTTTTTGCTGCTATATTACCCCAAAAGGTATAGAGAAAATGGACAAAAATTATGTTGGAAAATGTTATGACTTCTGTATGTATAAATATAATTTGACACCATTTTGTGGTGGTGGATGAACTCCTTTCTTAACCCACTGCTTTTTCTGCTGGCTCCAATATTTACTTAAATGAAGCCTTTTAAAGCAGTAATGGACATGAGAAATTGGGGAGGAAATAGGCTAGGGTTGGAGGTTAGCTTTTTGTTGCAATGACAACCAAGGTTGCTCTACTATTTATTTATACACTGGGACATTTTTTTGACATTGCTTTAACAACATTACAAAAACAGGCTAGGTTTAGGTTTTGTGGTAGCAATAATTAGAAAATGTGGTCATTAAACATGAAACCTTGAGGGTGGAAAACAAGTGTGACTCCTACATTTTTGGGCAGGCTCCTAGAAACAAACCAAACCAAACCAACAAATTTGTAAAGGCTTAATTTTCTATGTTCATGTATATGGTAATGCTCTTGGATTCAGTGCTTAAACAGTTCAGGTGGCTTGGGCTGCTTCGCCAGCTGTGACCTTTCCGGGAACATACAGGCCTAGCTACATCAATGTTCCCTTCTAAGCTGTGTAGTCTTGTGAGCAACCAGCTGTGACCTTTCCGGGAACATACATCAATGTTCCCTTCTAAGCTGTGGAGTCTTGTAAGCAAAAATTCTACTTTGTGAGCTACTGGCATTAAAGCTGTGAGCGAGCAATTTGGCTACTGCATAGATTAGTTTGCTCTGGGGCCAATGTTCCCTCTAAGCTGCCTTAGTGTGAGCTAGCTCGCCGTTTCTTAGCCTCTGGCTCACACATTTTTGTCTTAGCTCAGGAAGGATGGCCCCAGACAGTGTTCCCTCTAAGCTGCCTTAGTGTGAGCTAGCTCACACTAACTCAGCTTAGAGGGAACACTGTCTGGGGCCATCCTTCTTGAGCCAAGACAAAAATGTGTGAGCCAGAGGCTAAGAAACGGTGAGCTAGCTCACACTAACTCAGCTTAGAGGGAACACTGAGCTACATCCATTCAGATTTTAGCTATGTCCAGACTTGACTGCAGTAGTGTGCTCTATATTGACATTGTCTTTCAGTATCACTGTAAGTGGAAGGTTGTCCATCCGCTATATGGAACAGGGTCTTTTCAACGCTGGCACCGGGATTATGATCATTCCTCCCCAGGGACAGCTGCCTTGTGCCTTTCCTCTCATTTCCTGTTGGTTGAACACTTTTTATTATCTTTAGGAGAGCATTTGGGCTTCTCGTGGAAATGGTACAGTAACTTTTGATTGTTAATGTATCATCTTCCTGCTGCTGTTAGATTAATGCAGTTCTCATTATGCTGGCTGCCCTTTTAAAGATTTTTGTTGTTGTCACTTTACACTTTTTCTTCTTGTTACATTTTCTGTTTTTCTTTAGTGGCCTTGGGAGCTTAAGTTAGCCAAAAAGCAGAATATGGATATCCTAAAGATTAAGAGATTGTTAATATATAACTCTTCTAATCCTCAACATTTACATAGATATGATGGATGGAGTGAATAACACTGAGATTTTTCCCTTGCTTAAATGTGTGGCTGTGGCTAAATGGGGTTCTTACTTGATGTGGGCCCACTGTGGCTAGTGTAATATAATTATAGCAGAAAGGCCTCTTTCTACTATAGCAAGAGTTAATTCTTTAGTTGCTGTAGATTTTCTGGGTTGTGTGGCCGTCTCGCCAGAAAAATGGTAGGCAGGTAATTTATATCTACTCCAGAAGGTGGAGTACTTCTGGAGTAGATATAAATTACCTGCCTACCATTTTTCTTCTCACTTTGACACAGAGAGCACTCACTCCATCTTTCTGTTATACCTCTGAGGATGCCAGTCACAGCTACTGGCGAAACGTCTTCTTGGGGCTTGGGGCTTGGTGCTTGGTGCTTGGTGTCAACAGTGGGAGGGCTTCTAGTGTCCTGGCCCCACTGGTGGACCTCCTGATGGCACCTGGTATTTCTGGCCACTGTGTGACACAGAGTGTTGGACTGTGGATGGGCCTTTGGCCTGATCCAACATTGGCGTCTCTTATGTTCTTATGTTCAGGTTCTACAATGCCAAGACCACGGCCACACAACCCGGAAAATCTGCAGCAACTAATGAACTCCGGCCGTGAAAACCTTCGACAACATAGTTAATTCTTTGCAGTTAATCTTTTAAAAGACCTAGTGGCAGAACTGATTATTTCCTTTTGAAAAATTAGAATAGCAACCTATAATCCTTTTTCATGTCCAGGGACTAAATCTGTAATAGAATCCTCGTTCTCTGAAAACACCTGTTTACTTCCAGGCATGTAGAACAGGATAATAAGTGTTGTTTCTTCCCACCCTCCCCGGTAATCAGACTGGAATGAGAAGAAATGTATGTTGCAAAAACGCTTGTCAGAGTAAGTCCTAATTTCTTCCTTCCCTGAGCCAGTTTAGGTTTGCCTCTGTTTTCAGTAAGCTGAAGGCCAGTGTTATAAACAAGTTATTTTAAGCCAGAAGAGGAGCCGCTAATGACTATTCAACCTGAGCATCTTCTAGTCAAGTGGCGGGGAAACCTGTCTGTTCACTAATCAGCAATTGAGATGACACCCTTCATAAGACATAACCTGGTTTCCATACAGCTAGATATTTGCTGCCAGAACTATTCTGTGACCGTAAAGCCCTCACCTACAGCCTAAATTTATAAACCACAGGTGCTTGCACCAAACATGGATGTAGAGTGACTGCCGAAGTCAATGAAATCCATTGTGTACGTTCCTTAGGACAAGTGCTAGTATCCACACCTGGATTTAGTACAGCTTGAGGAGCCATCCTCCAGCTTCGAGTGGCCTTCCTCCAGTGGAAAAACCACAAGTTGGAGGAAGCCCTTCCTTAGATGGGGGGGGGGCTTAAAATTTGAGCCAAAAGGAAAGGCGAGGCATAAATATTTAAATAAATAAATGAACTTTGCTCACTGCAGTGGTAAGGTAGAATCCACCCACTGCCTTAGAGTCCTAGGTTGCAGTCCTAAGACTACTTTCTTGGGAGTCAGTCCCATTGAATAAAACAACACCTAATTCTGAGTAGAGCTGGTTAGGAATGTCCCACCTAGAGCAGTGTGGGGGTCTCATAGGCCACTTATTCTCTAAACATACCCACATCTTTCAGCCTTTCCTTGTAGGACTTGTTTTCCAGCCCTCCGATCATTTTGTTGCCCTCTGTTTCAGTTGCCACTTTGGTTTGTCTGTATCTTGCTGAAAATGCAGTGCCCAGAACTGGACACCATACTTCAGATGATGTCTAACTCGAGCAGAGTTGAGTGGGGCTATTACTTTTTCAGACCATTCTTCTATTATTTTACAGCCATATCTCACTGCTGTCCCATGTTCGTTGACTGCTACTCTGTGAACCTTTTCAAATATACCACCGCCAAGCCAGATATCCTCCATCCAGTAGCTATGCATGTGATTATCTCCCCCTAAATGTAGAACTTTTCATTTGTGTCTGTTGAATTTCATTTTGCTTCAGCTAAGGTTTCCAGCCTATGCAAGGTCACTTTGTCATTTCTGTCTTCTAAGATGTTTTCTAAAACCCCCCCGTTTTGTGTCATCTGCACTTATCCACCACTGATAAAAATGTTGATGAGTACTAGGCCCAGGAGGACAGAGCCCTGCAGCCCTCCTTGTGAGGCCCTCCCCCCCCCCATTGATGAGGTGCTATTCAGAAGCATTCCTTGAGTACGTTTCTCCAACCCTCCGTGGATCCATGTGACCCTGACTTGTCCTTAACCATTCGTACACTGCTGGTTTGCAAACAGTTCCTCTTTGGGAGAACGTGAAGGCAAATTAGAGTTGAAGAGATCTGCCTCCACTTTGCCATCTGTTAATAATTCACCATCCTCACTGAATAGCGAGCCTACCATTTCTTTCTCCCCAGCCCATTTGTTGTTCTTCCTGACATACCATTTGGATAAACAGACAAACTGTAGTCTGTTGGGGTTGTGAATACCTTCAGTTTTTGAGCTGCTCTTGGGGGGGGGGGAAGGGGGAGTAGGCAAGCCTGAGGACTTCCCAGGAGCAGTCCCGGAGCACGGTTTGGCTGTTGTGTCTTGCTCGCAACCCTGAACTCTGCTTGTTTTAGTTGCTTGCCTGGTTTGATGTTTCCTTTGACACAGACCAGCACAACTTGTGACTTGCGAGCCAAATGCAACCCATCAGAGGCTCAGTAACCTGTTTAGATCTCCCTGGGACAGTAAAAACAGGGCTGTTGAGCCCCTGAGAAGATTGGCGGCTGTATTCAGCATTCTGGGCTCACAACTTATGTCGGTGGCAATGTTCCCTCTAAGCTGATTTAGTGTGAGCTAGCTCACAGTTCTTTAGCCTCCGGCTCACACATTTTTGCCTTCGCTCAGGAAGGACGGCTCCAGAGCAAACTAATTGATGCAGCATCCAAATCGCTCGCAACTTTAATGCCAGTAGCTCACCAAGTAGAATTTTTGCTCACAAGACTCCACAGCTTAGAGGGAACATTGGTCGGTGGGCCACCTGATTCAACATGAGAGACCAAAGCTTGAGCACTGTTTTCCCGGAGATACATCACTAGTGTGTCGAGTAATTTCTGTACTACTTAATGTGTCATGTGAATACTTGTGCTACGCTTCAGTTCTTTCTAGCGGTTTCAGACTTCTAAATCCGAATGCATTGGTTACCGAATGCCCCATTATTTTTTTTTGTGATTGTTCCAGCTCACTGTGTCATCCGCCTTGAGTTCCCTGTGAGAAAGGCGGACTTGTGAATAATGTAAATAAATACATTTAATGGCAGAGTCACTGTTCACTTATTAAAGCGCTTAACTCCCTCTTTCTTTTTCTTTTTCAGGTGTCTTTGTATCCAGCATCGTCCTCGTTCTTTCACAAAGATCCCTTTTCCAGTTTTATATGATCAGCTCTGCACTTCTGCTGGCCGCAACATCAGTGTTGGTGAACTATTACGCTTTTTTGCACATAAACTTCCACAGTGCCTATTACACGGGAGCATTCGAAGTCCAGCTCCTGCCTCATAAAGGACCTTCCCTGTGGATGGCACTCTCTATCCTTCAGCTTGCCTTTGGAATTGGCTACGTTGCACTGTTAAATATCCAGTCCATATACTCTCAACTGATCATACTGGATTTATTGATTCCTGTTGTAGGCTTGATCATTGAATTACCTTTACACATCAGGCAGACTCTAGTCTTTATCTCAGGCTTCGTTGTGACATTTTATACCCTGGCCATTTTAGTGTCTAAAATGAAACGGTTCTACTACTCCACACGGTATGTCTATCTCCTCGTAAGGCACATGTATCGCATTTATGGATTACAGTTGTTGTTGGAAGATACGTGGAAAAGGATTCGTTTCCCAACCGTACTGCGTGTCTTTTGGCTCACAAGACTCACGGCCCAAGCTGCAGTGCTAATTTATGTTGTCAAGATGGCAGAAACTAATTCAGGCACGAAATCATATGTGATTTCTTGGGATAGCTTTTGGGAAGTGCTTTGCAGCCTTATCATCAGTGGGTGTGATTCTACTTTAACTGTATTAGGCATGAGCGCTGTGATTTCCTCTGTGGCTCATTATCTAGGGCTTGGCATTTTGGCCTTTATAGGTTCGACTGATGAAGATGACAAGAGGCTTGGTTTTGTGGCCCCTGTTCTATTTTTCATTTTGGCTCTGCAGACTGGTTTAAGTGGGCTAAAGCCGGAAGAGAGACTAGTGCGCTTGAGTCGAAACATGTGCCTTTTGCTAACTGCAGTCCTGCATTTTATCCACGGGATGACCGATCCTGTCCTGATGTCCCTGAGTGCCTCCCACGTGTCCTCCTTCCGCAGACACTTCCCCGTACTCTTTGTCTCAGCTTGCCTCTTTGCTCTTCCAATTTTGCTCAGCTACATCCTTTGGCACCACTATGCACTAAATACATGGCTGTTTGCAGTTACAGCCTTCTGTGTGGAGCTCTGCCTGAAGGTTATAGTTTCTATCACTGTGTATGTACTGTTCATGATTGATGGCTACTATAATGTCCTATGGGAAAAGCTTGATGATTACGTCTACTACGTTCGATCGACAGGCAATATTATTGAGTTCATATTTGGACTCATAATGTTTGGGAATGGCGCTTACACCATGGTATTTGAATCAGGAAGTAAAATCCGGGCATGTATGATGTGTCTGCATGCCTATTTCAACATCTACTTGCAAGCTAAGAACGGGTGGAAGACGTTCATAAATCGCAGGACTGCGGTTAAGAAAATCAACTCGCTTCCCGAAGTCAAAGGAGAGCGATTACGTGAAATAGACGACGTGTGTGCAATCTGCTACCACGAGTTTACTACGTCTGCTCGTATTACTCCATGCAATCACTACTTCCATGCACTTTGCCTTCGGAAATGGCTCTATATTCAAGACACTTGTCCAATGTGCCACCAGAAAGTTTATATTGAGGATAAGGAGAACACCAATGCCTCAAACAATAACGGCTTTGTTGCACGTGACGAAAACGTACCTAATGAAAATGTTGAAGACAGTGACGGTACCGACAGTGAGGAGGAGGAAGAGACCGACGGCTTGACTTAGCCCGTTATTGCAGTTCTCTGAACATCAAACCTGGTGGTTTAAAATGTCATGTACTGAACACTGCAGGTGTGTGTTAATAGTGACTTTCAACAATGGAATAAAAGTTTCACTTCATCAGTGTGTATCTAAGCACAAGAACAGTATCTCAAAATGTTGAATCTGTGAATGGGGTTGTCAGTTTACTGTGATGTGCTACTGTAAATATACCTCTGATTACTGCTGGTCTCTTTTGTGACCACGTTACATTTTATGTACATTATTGTACATGGAATAAAATGTTTTTGCTTATTTTTTAAAAAAAGCTGAACAAAAACCATTCTTAATTGGTAGTGCAAATTATAGTGTGTACACTGTGTCAAGAAGTTCATGCAGATTGGTTAATTTTAAGCTGATAGTTTTGAAGATGCTCTGATTCATTTTCAGGGTTTCAGGAAGGAACCATATAGAGCAAATAAAAGCAAATTAAAATCTAATTTAAAACCTTACCAAAGCATCGTTCCTGTCTTGAGAGGAAAAAAAAATAAAAGTGTTAGGCTAATCTCAACAGTGTTACTGATGCGGCTTAGCATTTGTGGAGAGGAGAAATATGGAGATAAACAGTCCCCACCAATGCTCCCTCTAAGCTGTGGAGTCTAGTGAGCAAAAATTCTACTTTGTGAGCTACTGGCATTATAGTCGTGAGCAAGCAATTTGGTTACTGCATAGATCAGTTTGCTCTGGAGCTAAGACAAAAATGTGTGTGAGCCAGAGGCTAAAAAACTGTGAGTTGCTCACACTAACTCAGCTTAGAGGGAACACTGAATACATGTGGCAAGTCTTATGCCATCTTTATTTTCATTCAAGTGGGAAAAAAATCTGTGTTTGAGTTGACAGGTTAGCATAATTGGTATTTACTTCACGTTAAGAGAGTGATAAGCCACTGAAATGTAACTGTCATTCTGAAAGTGACTGGAGAAAGGATAATCATTTTTAAAAGCTTTTCACGTGTTTTATATCATACCCCAGCACACTTCTAAATTAGTTGATGATAAGATGCAGGGGAAACTTTATTTCATGTAATAGAATTAGGCTTTATAACAATACATAAAACTTTACATATCTGGAAAGAAGATTTTAATGCTGTTGTTGTACATCGTATTGGCCAGTTCGAGTGGATCTTCTTCCCGTACTGCTGCTATTATTTCCAGTACTTGGCTATAAAGGGGGTGAAAAAGTCTTATTAGAGCACAGCCTAGTGAAGACATTAATGGCTCTTCATTGCTTATGTTCATAAATATTAAAATTGTATAAATATTTTTGGACAGAGGTCTAACAGTACTGGATTTTTTTTAAAAAAATCACCATCTGGGTTATAGCAGTTCTGCGACAAAATGCCATTAAATTAGTTACTCTGATAAGAGTGTCACAGAAATTCCTGGGATGCACTGCAATATGAACAGGCAGTACAGTACTGAAGGGGTGCTAGTATCCTTCCTGTCAGCCAAGTTTCATGAAGGCTATATGACTGTAGATCCTAGTGTGGAAAACCAGGGCATCTTTTGCTAGCTCAGGGTGTCTAGCAATGCACTCCTAAGCCGTTAAACCATTCTTAAGTTAACTGAAGTCAATGGGCTTAGGAGGATACTTTTACTTTACATAAGATGACACTGTGAGCAGTGCAGAACATTCGCACCATGTTGATTTTCTTTCATTTGACCCATGCATCAGACAGATATTTTATTCAGTTTGTTCAATAGAGTTATTTGCCAAATTACACTTCAACGAAGACATCACAAAAACACCGAACTCAAGTATTGTCAGTAACTAGATGGATGGTGTTCAGTTTTCTGAGACAAGTGAGGAGTTTTAGTATTTTGAGGCTATTTGCCTCTGTTGTATTGCCTAAGGAGGCTTTGTGGTTGGTGGAGCGTTTTGCTTTGGTATTAGCCATACCATTGTGTATGTGTTTTTACTGAAATTTAACATTTTTAAATGCCTTTAATTGTGTAGATGTTTTAATGTTTTTATGTGTGCTGCCTTGGGCACCCGGGGTAACGTGGAAAGGCAGCATAAAAATGGTTTAAGTAATTATAACCAGCAGAAGCAACAATAGTATGGCTAATACTGAAGCAAAATAGTCCACAGACTAGAAAGCCTCCTTGGGAATGAAATAAAGCTAGAAGGTATTATAATTAAGACAAATGGAAAGTGATTGATGCAGTTCTTATTTCCCCCCCTTACAGACATGGATAAGCAGGGGTGTGGGAGGGAGGCTTAATTATTTTCCACGACGGCCCCACAAAGCAAAGGAGGACAGAAGCTCTCCTCCCCTTTACAGCACGCCGTGCACCACTGTTAAATACATGTGGGGTAGAGAGCCAGTTTGGTGTAGTGGTTAGGAGCGCGGACTCTAATCTGGGAGAACCGGGTTTGATTCCCCACTCCTCCATTTGCACCTGGCTGGATGACCTTGGGCAAGCCGTAGTTCTGATAAGAGTTGTCCTTGAAAAAGAGCACTTTCTGTCAAGAGCTCTCTCAGCCCCACCCACCTCACAGGGTGTCTGTTGTGGGGAGGGGAAGGGAAAGGAGTTTGTAAGCCGCTCTGAGACTCCCTTGTGTAGTGAAGGGCGGGGTATAAATCCAAACTCCTCCTCTTCTTCTTCGTCTAACAGAACTCCTCTCATTACTGCTGTGATCGTAATGGAAACTTTAAGCAGAGCTGCAGAACGGCCCAGTTCTACTGGCACGCTTGGGTTGGGTGGCCAGGATGAAAGAGTTCAAACCCTCCAGCTTCCATGACAGCACAATTGATTGCTGGGCTCCATATGCAGCTGTTCTGCTTCCCCTTTCACAGAACAGCATATTCTCCCTCTGAGGCAGAGGATATGGGGGTGGGGGGGGGTTTGATTCCCACCCTCCATTCAGGGAGGCAGGAACCAATTCTTTCCCACTTCCTATCTCCGCTGTGGGAGTCACCCATCTCCTCAGTTCTTTTCCTGCCTCAACAGGGAGAGCAGCGTTTTTAGGCTTTGCCAAACTTTTGCCTTTTATCTTTCCTTTTTTCCTTGCACTGACCTCTCTTTCTTCCCTTCAGGTTTTTTCTCCCTGGATTCTCTACTTCAAAAAAAAAAAAAAAAAAAAGACTATTACTCAAATAGGTCTTGCAATATTGCCTGGACTACAGATGCAGCATGACCATGGCCATTGCATAATAAGTTAAGCAGAACTTCTCAGCAGTTTAGTAAGACTGGAATGGCCTGTTGCTAAAGCAGTCCGACTGGGGCTTTTGCTGTTGTTGCTGTTGTTTTTTCCTATCTGACTTTGTAAAAGGAGCAGCTTCAGAGGTAATGCTTAGGTTATTAAAACTGCATTATGGTGGGCACCTCCACTTCCAACAGAAAGTGCTGTCAAGTCACAGCTGACTTAAGGTGACCCTGTAGGGCAAGGGTGTCAAACATGAGGCCCAGGGGCCAGATCAGGCCCCCAAAACTACCGCAGAGCCCCTCCTTTAAAAGTATCTCAAATATTTTTAATGTGTGTAGGCTGTAAGTCTAAACAAGGCTGTTTATGAAGCCAGCTCCGACTAGGTCCAGGAAAGCCCTATCAGTGCCATTGTCCTCAGAGACAATGGAACACTGCGGGGGGACTTCACACCTCAGCCACATTACTAGATACGACTTCAGTAATTATACAGGGTTGGATCCAGACTAAATTTTCCATTCATGGAAGGGGTGCAGTAGCTGCCACTGCCTCCCTGTTCCTGCTGCATAGCCCAATTTGCCTCTCATGCTGTTCCCGTGGGCCCCCTGTGCATTTCAGAGCGATCAGGAGGCCGCAGCAGGAGGCGGGAGGCAGAAACCTCTACCACTGACAGAACTGCCTTGCATGGGTGGAAAATTTAGTCTGCCACCAACCGACATGATTTTTTTAAACTTTTTTTTTCTGTGCATGTGCAGCTCCAGAATGGGGCATATCACTCCCCCCCATGGGGGGCATTTTGAATCAGGAAAACAGGAGGGGGAACGGGAGCTTCTCCCTCACACATAGGACGGCATTCTATGTGAATGTGATTTCAAAGGGCTGGATCCAGTGGGAAAGCTCATAGAACTTTGTGCTGGTGGGAAGGTGAGAAAAGATCTGCTGTGCTTTTCTGCTGGATCTCACCCAAAGCAATTCATGCTTAGGCATAAAGTTATAATCAGCCATAGCATCAATATTCTTCAAATTTGAAACTAAATTTTTTGTGCTTAGTAAAAATAAAAGGTATTGTGCTTAGTAAAAATAAAGCCGTTCCATCAAAACCCTAAGGGTAGTTAGGAAGCATCAGAAACACTCTGTGCACGATTCACGCATAGGCCTAAAGTTATAATCAGCCATAACATCAATATTCTTCAAATCTGAAACTAAAAATTTGCAAGGGTCTGTCTACTATATAACTTCAGGTACTGTGCTTAGTAAAACAAATGTAATTTTCGCTCCCTTTCCTAAGGGTCGTTAGGAAGCATCAGAAACACTCTGTGCAGGCCCCCCCCCCAGGGGCCCCCCCCCCCCCCAAGTATTTGTTCATTGCTACACATGCCAATCACCATGTTCTTAACCAGGCTTTTCAGGGATACACTGAACTACTATTTAAACTTGCTACAATGTGTTTCAATTGCCCCCCCCCCATGTTTGAAATCAGAATATGGATTTAAGTAATGCTAATATGAAGTCTGTCAAATGGATGAGTGGATTTCTGTCTCCTCGGTTAGCCTGTGGCAGCTGTGCTTTAGCAATGCCTTCAGCTGCGTTTGACAAGAGGGAGAAAGGAGCATCTTGCTAAGGATAGGGGTGACCTGGCAGTATAATCGGGGTGCTGCCCTGGGCCCAGAACACCCGTACATGTGGGTCAGATGCATGCACTTAAGTTGTTCTGACATTTCCAGTTGGTCCGGAATACAGCAGCCACACTACTAACCGGAACAAGCCCTTTTGAGCCTCCGGTGCTACATTACATGGGCTGCCAGTATGTTCCTGGGCTCAGGTCAGAGTGCTGGCTCTGACCTTTGAAACCAAACTGCAGCTGCGGAAGAGTTTGCCCCAAGGACATGACTGTGGGGACTGCAATTAGGTTCATACAGGGAGACGTGATCCTTCAGGTATGTGGCTCCAGGTAGTGAAGGGCTTCAAAAGGTTATCTTAAATTGAGCCCAGAAGCATACAAGTGACCACTACACCTGCAGTAAACTGGGGATAATACACTGAAATCAGCTAGATGGGACGCGATATTTTGCACCAGTTGAAACTTCCAGATCGTCTTCAAAGACAGCCCCGTGCAGGGATGAATATAGATCTTGTTCTCCTTTCTGCAGCCTTGCCAATCAGGACAGACCGGCTGTGCAGAGGCAAGGTGGACAGCTTGCCCTGTTCTTTGGCTCAGTCTGACTCTCCGTGTGAGCACCATCGTTTCTGAGAACAGACCCTGAGGATAATCCCTGGCATGTTCACAAATGTTGCACAGGAGGCTGTGCACGCTGCAAGCACAGTGCGAGCAACAGACAGAAGTATGCAGAACTTCCGGGGAAGTTTCCTTCTTACTGTGCTGCTCAAGAATTGGGTATCATTTCTCACTTTGGGTGCTTGCATCTGGTCTCTCCCTTACGTTAGCCCCAAGGTTGCAACCAAAATTCATCCCTGTTCTGAAGGTATTTTGGAAGGGGCCCCACTGGGGAAAAAATAATGAAGTGTAGATAAAATTCTGATCAAAATAGTAACCTACCTGTCTCTATCATTAGTCTTTCATTTGGAATTGACCTCACCGTTTCTAAGTTGGCTTCTGTTTTCAGCGAACTGGAAAGCAAGTTTGAAAATATTATTTGGAATATGGAGACCAGCTGTGCTGCGTAGGAGTTGCTTAGTTTCTCAGAGTGCGAAGGACTCTCAACATTCAAGAAATGACTGCGTTGCTTGCACACGGCATGGGCCCAATCACATGGGCCCTGCTGGACGAAGAAGCTGGGGGGAAGCTTTGACATGTGCTCCTGCAGGGGTGGGGCACCTGGTCAGCCACAGCAGCAAACAGGATGCTGGACTCGACGGTCCCCTTTCATGAGCCTTTTCCCCATGAATGTGTAGAATCCCCTTTTAAAGCTCTCCCAAGATACCGGCCATTTTATGACCCCCCTTGTGACAGCGAGTTACACAAGTTAATTCCTATGATGAAGTGCCTGGTAATAAGAAGCACTGTGAGCACTCTGAAGTACTATATCAACGCTAACAAAAGTTTTATTCTGGGTATAAGCTTTTGGGTGCCTGCACAAGAAAGCTACTACCCAGAATCAAACTTTGTTGGTCTTAAAGGTGCCACTGGACAGACTTCGTTCCACTGCTTCCGATCAACACGGCAACCCACCTGAATCTAAATATCAGTTTTGGATTACAATACTCAATAGATTAAAAAGGTAAAGGTTCCCTTGCTCGAAAGCCAGTCGAATCTGACTCTAGGGTCATCTCCGTTTCCAAGCCGAAGAGCCAGCGCTGTCCGAAAACATTTCCGTGGTCATGTGGCCAGCATGACTAAACACCAAGGCGCACGGAACGCTGTTACCTCAATAGATTATAGCACCTCAAAACATTTACAACACGCCCATACAATCTGAAGTCTGCCCAAGCCAAAAGCATTCCACCAGCCAGGTATGGTGGGAAGTTAACAGACCTGTCTGTTGCCTGCCCAGGACGGCAGAGATGGAGAGTGCAGGTCAAAGCCCCAAGAGCCCAACAAATGCTGCTGGTGGAATCTGCTTGGCTTGGCTGACTGCAAGTCACACAGGCACCCACCCCCAGTTTAAAACAAGTCTTTATAGATTGGCCGTTAGAAATGACTCACCAACCGTTTATTCCTATGTAGAGATCCAAATCGATTATAGCTGCCGCTGCTTCTTTGGTGCCATCGAAAGAATGCACCTGTCAAAGAGGCTGATATGCATTTACTGACATAGGCAGAAAGAATTCAAGTGCATCAATCCTTATCTGACCTCTCTCCTGCATTGCTTTTGAAGGGTGTTCAGCAGCAACGCAGGTTTGCAAGACACTTCATCAGCATAAATGGGCAAGCGGGAGGGAGGGGCTTGCCCTGGGTAGAAGCCGAGTGAGGAGCTACACTGCAGACTCTTCTTGCTGCTTCATCTACAGCTCAGTCGATCCAAAGTATCTGGATTAATCAGCACATATTTATTTATTTGCATTTATATCCTGCCCATCCTGCGAGCAGGCTCAGGGCGGGTAACATCATTAGAATAAATGCAATTTCAGTTAAAATCATTAAACATTAAAACACGATGAAACATTATAGCAATTGAAACAATGGGTACAGCTTGGAACAGCGTCGGTTGGCTATAAAGTTCTGGCCCGGTGGTACAATGTGTTAAAGGCCAGTTGTCGGTGGTCAGTAGACAGGTGACAGATGGGTGACAGCAACCTCAGGGAGGCCCTATATGGGCACCAATATTCCCTCTAAGCTGTGGAGTCTTGTGAGCAAAAATTCTACTTGGTGAGCGACTGGCATTAAAGTTGTGAGCGAGCGATTTGGCGGCTGCATAAATTAGTTTGCTCCGGAGCCATCCTTCCTGAGCTGAGACAAAAATGTGTGAGCTGGAGGCTAAAAAACTGTGAGCTAGCTCACACCGACTCAGCTTAGAGGGAACACTGATGGGCACCCATTGCCTCAACCAAAGAAAGGCCTGGCGGAAGAGCTCTGTCTTGCAGGCCCTGCAGAGATAATGTGGCAACTTTCTGTTTCAGGAGCACACTTGGGCATCGCTTTACTATCACTGTGGCTGATTTCGCACTAGAGCTGCCTCGATGTTGCGCTGCCGTATGCCCCAATACTATTTATTTATTAGACTTTTACCCCGCCCTCCCGCCAAGGTGGCTCAGGGCGGCTTACAATAGTTTAAAACCAACAATTAATACAATATAAGTCTAAAACAATACAGTCAATAAAATATCCAAATACACTTATTAAAATTGAGATTAAGACGTGGCGGCCTTCTGTTATGAAGTGCTAGAACCGTCAGTGTGGTCTGAGCTATTGAAACGCTTGCCGGAACAGCTCGGTCTTTACCGCGCTACGGAATTGGTAAAGATCCCACAGAGCTCGGATTTCGTTTGGGAGCTGATTCCATAGTACTGGTGCAGCTAGGGAAAACGCCCTAGTTCTTGTCGATCCTGTTTTTTGAGGATCACGAAACTGCGGAGGAAATCGGGCGAAGCCGCGGGTCAAATGCAGCCCCGCAACTTCAGGTGTGAAATTGACCAATAGTATCGGTGCAAACGGCGGCGCAACATTGAGGCAGCTCTAGTGCGAAATCAGCCTGTGTCACAACAGATGTATGGGAACATAGGCTTTATGGCATTGGTTTTGGTGGTGGAAAGTGGCAAGAGACACTCAGAGGTGGTTTGCCATTGCCTGCCTCTGCGTCACAACCCTGGGCTTCCTTGGTGGCCTCCCATCCAAGGACTCACCGGGGCTGACCCTGCTTGGCTTACGAGGGCTGGTGAGATCAGGGTAGTCGGGGCCATCCAGCTCAGGGCAGTACTGGGTTTATATTCTTATGATTTGTTACTTTTGAGTTCTCACCTTTCAGACCTTTTAGGCTGACTACAGGGATAAGAACACCACAGGCCTGGGAGGGGAAGGTCAAAATACAGATAGCCAAGGCTTGCACCCTCAAGCAATCAAAAAAACCCCATCCCTGCTGATGCCAGATGCAGACTGCAGATTTCTCCAGCTCTCACCAAGAATTTTTGGACGAAGAAGTGTGAAGGGGCCCCCAAAATTGATTTGTCTGCAATGTGTTGGCAGTGACAAAACATCATAGCCACAAAAAAGGATGGCATTCAGATCATCATTCGTACTTACCACCCCTCCCATACACCTCTCTCTGTTTCGCCTCATTATATCTGGGCAAAAAAGAGAGCATAGTTGGAGATCAGAATCCTAAAGATGTTATTGTTTGTTGTTGTTTTTGAACAAAACTTTTATTTTTGGATATAATATCACACTTAACATTGGCTTTCACTTATCCAATACCCATATTTCCCTTTCCCCCCTCCCTTGCAAGTGGCTTCCCGCAGTGCTCAACCCTTTTTCCCTTTACAATACTTATATTTGCTTAAACATTTTAAAATTACTTAAATGTTAAAAGATAACACTTCTATCAATATTGTTCTAAATACAATAAATTATGTTTAACATCCCAGTTTTCCTCTAGATAGTCTTTAAAGTCTTTCCAGTCTTCAAAAAATTCTTGATCTTCTTTGTTACTCAACTTTCTTGTTATTTTGTCCATAAGATGTTATTGTTTTTTAAATCCCCCCCCAAGGGTTTTGTATTTTTTAAAACAACCTACCTAAGAATTCTGAATGTGCGTTTCTACAGTGCAGGAACATCGGCAGTTTTGTTTGTTCGGAAAGATCAAATTGCTTTTCAAAATACCTGGGAGGAAAGAAATTAAGTTTGATGGAACATCGGGCATAGTGGGAAAGAAGAGAAAGGTGGTCTTGTAAAACTGGAGCCACACTTGAGAACACTGATCGCTTTGATAGGTCTTTTAGAAATACTGGAAAAAATCAAATGGGAAAAGGGCATTCTCTTATGTTCTGTCTACCTAACCATCCACTGCATTCCTATTGTGCCCATTCCTATGAGGAAATCAGAGTGGTATACATGGCTCTCCCCTCCCCCTTTTATTCTCACAACCCTGTGAGGTAGGTTAGGCTGAGAGAGAGAGACTGGCCCAAGTTCACCCAGCAGGTCTCATGGCTGAATGGGGATTTGTCCCTCTGTCTTCCCAGTCCTGGTCCAGCACTGTAATCAGCACACCATACTGGCTTCACTAGAGGCTGCAGATTCATGCTGTGATGTGTAAATGACAGGCTGAACATTAGAGAATCATGGATTACCTTGCAGCTGTGAACTGGCTAGCTAACCAACTACACAACCATAACTGATGGTGATTCTCTCCCTATGCAGAAGAGCATAAATACCATACATGTGACTCTTGGTTTGTTTTACGACTGATCTGCCACGAAATGATGCAAATGCTTCACTGCTGGATTAATTTTAGCCCTAACTGCTAGATGAAGTCCGCATGCAGAGGAAATATGATGCCCTCCGATAACCAGATGCTGGCGACCAAGAACAGGGCGTGGACGGTTATGGTTGTGGCCCCATCTTTGAATGTACAGAGGCATTAATCTCTCTGCCACTGGAAACAGAATGCTAGGCTGGAACAACGTTGGTTTGATCCAGCAAGGCATTCCCAGGTCTTATCTTCATCACGGTAACACTTCCTACACAACGAAAGCCACTGACTTGGGGTAGCAGGAACGTTCTTTCATCTGAAGCGCCTTGCTTTTCAGCACCTTTCCATTTCACTCAGTAGCTTTCCTCAGTCATCCTGTTCCTGAGTAAACATGCCCACTTTAGTTATTTATTTAAATGACTTATATCCAATGCTCCCTCTAAGCTGTGGAGTCTTGTGAGCAAAACTTCTACTTTGTGAGCCACTGACATTTAAGTCATGAGTGAGCGATAAATTCGTTTGCTCTGGAGCCATCCTTCCTGAGCTAAGGCAAAAATGTGTGAGCCAGAGGCTAAAAAACTGTGAGCTAGCTCACACCAACTCAGCTTAGAGGGAACACTGCTTATACCCCACTTTCCCAGCACAATTCTTCTAAGCAGCTAACAAAAAATGATAACCAGTAATAAAGTTTTTAACAAAACTGGTGCTGGCTCACAACAGAAGGATATCAGCAAACAGTAATTTCACCCCATCAGTGATAACACCACAGTGGGCAGTGTAAGAAATCTCACAACGAAGGAATCAACCAAATGCACACTGATATCGAAGGTCTGTGCCTCCACCAGAATAACAAGGAATGTGCCAACGGAATCTCCTGGAAGAGGATGTTCCCAAAATGTGGCACCAGAACTAGAAAGGACCTCTCCTGCTTACCACCCATCTCAGATGGTGGTGGAGACCTGGGAAAGGACATCAAAAAAGGTCCTCAAGGAACAGGTCCATTCTCATAACCTGTTCTTGGTGTATCCTGGACCAGTAACTTGTAGGTTTGGAGGAAAAGGTTAAATCCCAAATGAGGGTGATACTGAAAAATGGTACAGTATAGTCTTATTCACTTGATCTGTGGGATGGGGAACCCTAATCCCTGGTTCGTCATAATTTGTCCATGGGTCTTCCCAGTCCTTTTTTGCCAGCCAAGTGGCCCAGTGTTCCAGTTCTAGCCACCACATTTTGTAACAATACCAACTGCACAAGCATATACAGAAACATCTGGAGCAAGGTGGTGGCATCCATTGCCAGCAATAAAGGAATGCAGCAAAGCGATCAGATGGGGGGGAGGGGAAAAGGGGAGAAGCTTAGAAGGCCAGCTGAAAAGGTTTAACTCTTCCTTTATGGAAAAGCAGGGAGACTGCTGCTTGAACAGGTTTGTTTTTTTGCTACTCCTTGGCTCTTACGGCAACGCTGAGAACATCCTAATTGACGTGAAAGGAAATCTTACTAATCTTTTTTTTATGGTCAGTAAATCTTACTTGAGCTGGGTGTCTTTAGGGCAGAATTCTAGTCTGTCAAAATCTGCAAGAAGAAAGAGACAATGAATGGGCTTGTGAAACAATGCGGAGGCGGCACGTGCGTTCCTGAGCTGGCTGGCAAATACTCACCCAGGCCGCACTCCCCAATGGCGATGACCTTCCCTTTATTTTTTTCAGCTAGACTTTGTAACTCTGCTAAGTACTGGTCAGGGTTGCTCTGGTCGAATTCTGCACAGCGGGTGGGATGGCAGCCAACAGTACTGTAAAACACGTCTGAAAACAAACAACATGCGATTTTAGTTATTTTTTCAGTACTACCAGTCTACTGGGCAGACTGGAATGTAAAAAGTAAAACAAGGCAAATGTAGAAGAGAGGCAAGGCAAATGTAGAAGACGAATGTATGGGTGTGTGATCACTCTAAAAGTTAAACGGAAGGTAATGAAAACATTCCGTGTAAATGAGAAGGATGTGAGCGGACAAATACCATTTGTTTGTGCCAGCTGCAGAGCCTCTTTACTATCTTGCAAACTTCCGCCCGTGATCATGAACTAGAAGTAAGAAAACATATTCGCCATAAGTGCTGGTTTCCGAATGTTAGGATTAATTAATATCTGACATATCTGACGAAGGAGGTTTTGACTCTCGAAAGGTCATACCCCAAAAATCTTGTTGGTCTCTCAGGTGCGAATGGACTCAGATCTAGCTGTTTTGGCATTACAGCAGACCAACATGACTACCCATCTGAAACCAAGGATTAAATAATACCCCCAAAAACGTACTTTATGAAGGGCCAACAGATAAGATGTCCAGGGCTATTTTTGGGCAGGAACGCACAGGAACAGCGTTCCGGCTGGCTCACGAGTTGGCCACGCCCAGCAGGAACTCATTAGCATAATAGGCCACACCCAACAGCAGAAACGCATTAGGATTGGCTACATTAGGGGTGTGTGGCCTAACATGCAAAGGATTTCCTGCTACAAAAAAAGCCCTGGGTTTTGACAACAAACAAGGTAAACAGAATAAGAAGGGAAAGGTGGGTGTGGCTGGATAACCACACTTCTGGTAACATGGGGGTGCGTCCTAATGTGCTAATGAGCTGTGCTGGCAGGGGTGTGGCCTATTATGCTAATGAGTTCCTGCTGGGCTTTTTCTACAAAAAGAGCCCTGAAGATGTCTAATGTAAATGCTGAAACAGTTAAAATTTAAGACCTTAAAGCGAGACCACAAACATGCAATCGTTTCAAACAAACTTACCTTTTTCACACCAATCTTGACTGCTCTATCCACTACATCTAGGAAGTCATCTGCAAAAAACCACACAATTAAAGTCCACATTTAAAAACAGCAGCACGATCCAGTATGTTACTGGGACTCCTCTGCTGCTTCTGGTACGCAGTAGCCCCTGCAGTTTCTTTCTTTTGGCTGTTAACTTCATGGTAGTAGAGCTGGTTCAGTGTACTGGTTACAGTGTTAGGCTAGAAGTAGAGAGGCCTGAGCTCAAATCTCCCAAGTCAGCCATGAAGCCAGCTGTGTGCCTTTGCAACGGCCACCCTCTATCATCCTACACTACTTTAAAAGGTTCTACGGGGATTAAACGAAGGAGCTGGAGAACTGTCTATGAAGCCTGGGAGGAAGGGCGGGATCAAAATGTGATCGATAGATGATGACTGATATTAACATCTCTATTAATCAGTATGAAGGGGGGAGGGCTGTAGCTCAGTGGAACGGCCTCTGCTTTTCATGAAGGCGGTCCCCGGTTCAACCCCCGGCCTCTCCAGTTAAAAGGACCAGGCAGCAGGTGACCTCTACCTGAGGCACTGGAAGGCCGCTGCAAGACAGAGCAGAGAATACTGACCTTGATGGACCAATGGTCTAACTCAGTATAAGATGGCTTCATGTGTGTTTCACGTGTGATACCTCTGCAGCAAAGAAATTCGGCATCGATCTTCACAGCATTCACACTAACCAGACCAATTAAAATCAATAAACTCCATTGATTGTCTCATGGTTTTGCCATAAATTTAACCAACTGGTTTATTACAATTTTTGTGTAACCAACCCTTCCTCCTAGCTCAAGGCAATATATGTCAGAGGCTACCTCTGTGCCTATATTATAACAGCTGTCGTAGACTAGCCTAGGATGATGAAGAAGAAGAAGAAAAAGAAGAGAAGGAGGAGGAGGAGATTAGAAGAACAGGAGGAGGAGGAGATTGGATCTATACCCTGTCCTTCACTCAGAGTGGGTTACAAACTCCTTTCCCTTCCCCTCCCCACAAAAGACACCATGTGAGTTAGGTGGGGCTGAGAGAACTCTTTCAAGAACTGTCCTTGAGAGAACAGCTCTGACAGAACTACGGCTTGCCCAAGGTGATCCAGCAGGTGCAAGTGGAGGAGTGGGGAATCAAACCCGGTTCTCCCTCATTATTAAAGTCCACGTACTTAACCACTACACCAAACTATGATCACATAGCGTTGCCATCTATACATCGGGGCTTCAAGGGCAGGCACTAAGACATTTTTTCATGGTTGCCCTTCAGCAATCAACGGAGTGGGCAACAACAACAATAATTTCATATGTAATTGAGCTTTACCTTGATGCTTTTGAGTCCCTCTGTATATGCCTCTGAACATAGGATCCGTTAAGTTAACACCAATATCTAGAGAAAAAGAATGTACTTGGTAAATAGAACAGGAGGTACCCCAGAAGTATGCAGAGGTGGAAATGTGCTGTGCAAACTTCTGTCTTAGAACAACAAATTCAACAGCTTTGGAATATCTAGTTTTCACTGCAGCCTCTCTGCAGTGTAGCTTTGTATAGCTTTATGTTTATTTTTCGGATGTTACTTGTATACACCACTTATATACCCCAATATTCTGAATGGTTTAGAAAACAACATAATTACTGCTTAAAACATACAAAATGCCAAGTAACTAAAGGTGTATCAGCAAGACCACAACTGCAAACATAGCAATGCACAGGGTATCGAATAATAATAAACAGATGTAACAACAATATCACAATTACATTACCATTGAAGAATCATAAACGGCATAGCGAAATTCTGATCTACAGCCATCAACCCCTCCAGCAGATATAACCATTACACAAAAGGCTTGACCCAAATTAGATTATACTATTGGCCACTGTCAAATGAGGCACAGGGGCAACTACAGAAAGGGCCCTGCTACTGATAGATGAGCAGTGCCTCATTTAGAGTTGTCAGGTCCCCCCTGGCCACCAGCAGGGGATGTGGGGGTAGAACTGCCAGATCCAAGCTGGAAAACTCCTGGAGATTTGGGGATGGAGCATAGGGAGGACAGGGACCTCAGTGGGGGTACAATGCAATAGAATCCATCCTCCAAAGCATCCATTTTCTCCAGGGGAACTGATCTCAGTAGTCTGGAGATGATCCTCAGGCACCACCTGGAGGCTGGCATGTAGCCTCATTTATGGATCTTAATGACAGGGCAGGAACCTCTGGATTGTCTAATGCAGAACTGCTTAAGTACATAAGAAAGAGCCACACAGGATTTGCCTGAGGGGAATCAGCCAAGCATCTAGACTGGGGTAGAAAAGTGTAATTCATGTACGTTATTTATAGTCCATCTTTCTCACTTGGACTCAAGGTGGATTAACGAAAGGATTTAGGGCGGCACACTGGAAGGGCAACCTACAAGGAATACCAGGGTCATGATGCAGAGGCAGGCAATGGCAAACCACCTCTGAAACGTCTCTTGCCTTTAAAAACAAGTCTAGCTCGCCACCTAGTGGTGCATAATACTAAAAGAGCTAGCACTTCTGACTGCCAGACAATCTTAGGATCTCCTGGCTATATTACACATACTGCCATACCATAATACTAAGCAGTAGGCACACTGGAAGCGTCATACTGTTCAGGGAATTAGAGAGTAAGGAAATTGGAGTCGGCCACCAAAGCTCAGAATGGGGCCCCGCCCCACTCCTCTCCCTAAGTCGAGCTGGACCTGCGGACCCCAAGGTGCCGCCCTCAGGCTTTCACCGTCCCAGGTAGGCCCGAGACTCCCTTCCGGTTGCCCAGGCAACAGCCCTCGTGCCGGCAGCCCCGCCCTCACCAATGAACTTGAAGCGGCTCATGACGGCGATGACCCGAACCGTTCCACGCGCGCCGCTCTCCCTCGCTCTCAGTATCCCAGTCTGTAGGGAGGAGTAAAGAGGGAGGGAGCAGCAGGACACTCAGCCGCCACATCCGGGTTCCATCGGACCACCTCCGCCGCCATATGCGGGGCGCAATGCTACTGCAAAGATGGGGAGCTTCTCTGCCGCGCTTCGCTCTTTCGTTATGCTGGCCCAAAAGGGTCAACCGGGAGCGTGCGATATTCTTTGTCTTTGCGACAAAGAAGGAAGCGGAAGGCAAGAAAGGGTCGAGAAAGAAACACAGGAGGGTGTTAAACAACGCCACACAAGACTTCCGGTTTAACACTGAAGCTGTTTCCTTATTGCCATACGCGGCGGTCGCTACAGAGATACTGAGGCCCAGAGCGGGCCCGTACCTCGCCCTCTCTCAATAGATTTCTGGTTTGCGCCGGAAGCTGCCTTGCATCTGTCTGAGCCGCCTCCCTAGTAGGCGGGAGTCATGGCCGACGTCCCTGCTGCTTCTCAATCCCGTCATCCCCCGCGCCGAAAGGAGCCGTCCTCTCTCCTGAGGGCGAAGCTGCGGCCCGGCCAAGATGGCGGCGTATTTGACCCACCAGCAGAAGGTGCTGCGGCTCTACAAGCGAGCGCTGCGGCACCTCGAGTCCTGGTGCATCTTTCGGTGAGAAAGAAGCGCGGGGCGGCCTTCGGCGCCTCCCTGGGATCCTTCGAGGCCGCTCGTTGCGCTCTCTCAAGGGAGGGGGGGGGTGAAGGGAAGGGGCGGTTACCATGGCGACGGGGTTCTTTAATAGTTCCCCCCACCCTTTTCCCCCCTCAGCATGACTACGAGGACACCGCAGAGGAGAGGCTTGGCTGGGTCTTGGCGTAGTGGTCACGCGAATTAGGACTCCCCGTGCTGCCGTCGACGGTTCCTCCTGGCCCTGGGTGACCTTGAGCCCGTCGCGCACTCTCCGCCTCACCCACCTCGCAGGGTTGTTGTGAGGACAAAATGGAGGAGAGGAGAACGATATAAACGGCTTTGGGTCTCCACTGGGGAGAAAGGCAGTGTGTGAATGGAGCCAATAAATAACCTCTGAGAACCCGGGGAGCGGTTAGAGGTTGTTGTTGTTGTTCAGTCGCACAGGGGCACACAGAATAAACATCAGATGCCTGAGAGCTGTAAGACAGGAACAAATATCACACACGCGTTTTTATTGCAAAACATGCATTTTTGTTTTTTTTATTAACATTAAAGTAGGCTGTGTGAAAGAGGCTCCTGAACTGCAGTTCTGCACCCCGGGGTTAGAGTGTCAGACGGCACACCTGGGGGCGTAGGTTCAGATTCCCCACTCTGCTTCGGAAACTGGCTGGAAGACCTTGGGCCATGTAAAACAGGAACAAATATCACACACACGTTTTATTGCAAAACATGCATCTTTGTGTTTTATTAACATTAAAGTAGGCTGTGTGAAAGATCCTGCCCCTGTGAACGGGCTCAGGGCGGCTCACAACAATAAATACAAACATATGTTTTCCTGAGTCCACTTCTTCAGGTGCTAGGAGTGGATGCGCTCATTGTGCACATATTTTATGCAGAGGGCGTGAAAAAGAAATCAAACGGACACCAGACCCCTTAAGAACATAAGAAGAGCCCTGCTGGATCGGCCAATAGTGCATCTAGCCCAGCATCCTGTCTCACACAGCGGCCAACCAGTTCCTCTGGAGGGCCAACAATAGGGCAGAGAGGCCGAGGCTTTCCCCTGATGTTGCCTCCTGACTCTGGGATTCAGAGGCTTAATGCCTCTGAACGTGGATTAGTCGCCATGGCTAGTATCCTCCTAACATAAAACATCTGCTTATTTATTTGTTTTTTTGTTCGACTTTTATCCCACCTCAGGGCGGCTCACAATATCAATAAAACCAATATACATAGAGCACGAACGATTAATATAAAACAGTTTAACTATAAATACAATAAATATCTATAAAAATGGCTCAGTATATATTATATCTAGACTTCTACCACAGTGTAATCACTACCATTTACATGCCTTAGCGTGTCGGCAAGGCTCAGCTGGCATAGCATCAGTCTCACTGATATGCCCGGCGGAAAAGCTCCGTCTTCACGGCCCTGCATAGCGAGGATCTGCTCATTGCACCTGAGGAAGTGGACTGTAGTCCATGACAAATTTATGCCTGGTGTACATTCTGTCAACAGCGCCTACCTCACAGGGTTGATGGGAGACTATAACAGGGAAGGAGACCCTTGTGTACTTCTTGGTGAAAGGGATGGTCACCCCACGAAGAAGGATGCTTTTGCACCTATTACGTTGCATGTTTGTAGGTTCAAGTGGGTAGCCGAGTTGGTCTGGAGCAGTAGAACAATGTTTGAGTCCAGTGGCACCTTTAAGAATAACAAGTTGGGTCCTAAAGGTGCCACCGGACTCTGTTGTTCTATTGTATGTTTGTGTGAATCCTCGTACGCTTGTTCTGAGTTTCGTCGTTGGGGATGACAGTCTTGGTAAATCCAGGTGTTAGATGGTTCATGTCGATGCGTTTAATGAATGCATGTAGGAATCTTCAGTATGTATAGTCTGTGTGCGTTGTGTAACACATAGAAAGGGATTGTGGTGTCTCCAGTCACTGGTCTTGTGAATAGCCATGGAGCATTTTGGGTAGCTACGTCACCACCTTTAGACCCATTGCTGACAGTTACTTTCTCCGTTTGCCAACAGAGGGGGCACTTCACACGTCTGACACAGTGAGCCCTAACCAAGGAAAGCTGATGCCGCAATAAAGTTGCCCCAAGGCTTTTTGTTGGTTTTTCCGTGAAGAAGAAGGTTGACCTAATTCCCTCTCCTCTCCCCTGTTCCCAAGAAAGTATAGAATCATATAGTTGGAAGGGACCTCCAGGACCATCTAGCCCAGCGGTTTCTCAACCTGTGGGTTGCGACCCCTTTGGGGGTCAAACGACCCTTTCACAGGGGTTGCCTAAGACCATCGGAAAACACAAATTGTTTTTGTGATTAATCACTATGCTTCAATTATGTTCAATTTGTAACAATGAAAATACATCCTGCATATCAGATATTTACATTACGATTCATAACAGTAGCAAAATTACAGTTATGAAGTAGCAACGAAAATAATTTTATGGTTGGGGGTCACCACAACATGAGGAACTGTATTAAAGGGTCGCGGCATTAGGAAGGTTGAGAACCACTGATCTAGCCCAACCCCCTGCACAATGCAGAAAATTCACAAATACCTCCCCCCACACACACACACCCAGTGAACGGCTATTCCATGCCCCGAAGGTGGCAAAAAACCTCCAGGATCTCTGGCCTGGAGGAAAATTGCTTCCTGACCCTAAAGTGGCGATCAGCATTTCCCTGGGCGTGCAAGAAAGGGCCAGGAGAACTAAGCACTGATGCAACCCTTCCTGCCTTCCCTTCTCATAATCTGCCTGAGTTCACAGAATCAGCATTGCTGTCAGATGGCCGTCTAGCCCCTGTTTAAACCCCCCCAAAGAAGGAAGTCGCTGAGAAGGCTGCCAGGAAAGGAAGGGTGTCTCATGTTGCTCCACACACAGGTTTGCCTCTTGCCCTGCTCTCTGGGTCGATCTGGAATCACTGCCTCATATTCCAGAGGGTCCCCAGCCTTTTTGAGCTTGCAGGTGTCTTTGGGATTCTGGCACAGCGAGGTGGGCGCAGCCGCAACATGCGTGTCACAAAATAACTGCCGTAGGAGGCAGAGCCAGCCACAGAATGGCTCCTGCAGCTTAATGTGGCATGTTAATACTTACGCTGTGCTTCTGTTTCTTCCTGGTGGTTCCAGACTTCTGATATCCTAATGCACTAGTTATTAAATGCTCCATTTTTTAAAATCTGCCTTGAGAGTCCATGCGAGAAAGGCAGACTATAAATTACGTAAATAAATTCAGTAAATGTCAGTGACACATAAAGATCCTTGTGCTGTGGTGGCAGCTGCTGCCAAAACGATGTTTTTAAAAAATCTGCACATCCAATCAAAAGACTGGCTGGGCAAAAGCCCTACGGCTGGCTCCTCCCACTTTCTAAGATCACTTTCAGGCACCAGGAAAACTGCTTGTGGGAGCCGTGGCACGCAAGGGCACCACGTTGGGGACCTCTGATGTTCTGTCACTCAAACGGCCATATGGCAACTGCCTCTGTTTCTGGAGGTGTCATTTTTGGAGGGGCCCCCCCTTTCCTGCAGAAAACTCCATTTCCCACTTTGTCTCTTGCCCGCGGGTTTGTTAGTACCAGCCCCCGTCTCTAAGATTCTTTAGTACTTCCTAAGGTGTGCTAGTGAGATAGGATTGGATGGGTTTAGTGACTAGTTAGAGCTCGGGATGTAGCCTAAAGGTTTCATGGAAGCTGAGGACAAGGGCTTTCCTGTCGTCGCACACTGGACGGTGACGGTCTGTCTTTGCCTCCATGGCGACTAATGTGTATCTTTAGCATGCTTCATGAGAAGGGCCTTGTGGAGGGACCAGTTGCCCCTCTCCCAGTTTTTGCCGGTAGTGGGATTTCTTGCCTGTGACTGCATAGCCAGTGTTACTAAGATTTTGTAAATATACACCCCACGTCATGTGTCACAGATTGTCAGTGTTAATGAGGAATCATTCTTGTCTTTCAAGTGATCACTGATACAGATAGCCCCTTGTTTTATTTGGCAAGGAGCAAGACTCCCCCCACCCCACCCCCTTTTGCTTATTGATCACCCTAGTGATTTTAAACTTTGCAAACTATAATTCAGGATGTTTAAACCGAAAATAATCCTTCAGGGCAGCAATTTGGAACCTGGCTGGAATGGTGTGCGCCAAAGCAGCTGTTACGAGGTTTCACGAAGGCCCTCTAGTGGGCATTCAGGAGAATAGTTCTGTTCTAATAGCATCATTTCTCACCTGCTTGTGGTGGTGGAGGGAAGTGCTGTTGGACGGCGGCCAACTTGTGACCCACCGTAGGGTTTTCAAGGCAGCAGGCAAGCAGATACGGCCAGCCGCTCCTTGTCTCTGTGGAGCAGCCGTGGACTGCCTTGGTGGCCTCCCGTCCTGGTCCTATCCGGGGCCTGCTTAGCCTGGGCCATCCAGCTCAGGGCCTCTCAGTGCCATGAGCAAAATCTGTTAAGCCATCTGGTTATTCTGTTCTTAACCCAGGGCACTTGATCTAGAGGGCGGTCTCGCCAGCTAGAGCTTGCAAGAGATATGGAGGTGCGACACTCTAGCTTGGCAGACGTGCTGCGGGTGCCTCCTTTCCTTCTGCCGCTCTCGAGGCAACATAAGAGAAGCCAATGTTGGATCAGGCCGGTGGCCCATCCATTCCAACCCTCTGTCACACAGTGGCCAAAAATACCAGGTGCCATCAGGAAGGTCCAGCAGTAGGGCCAGGACACCAGAAGCCCTCCCACTATTGCGCCCCAAGCACCAAGAGTACAGAGCATCACTTGCCCCAGCCTTAGAGTTCCTATCTATACCTTGTGGCTAATAGCCACTGATGGACCTCTGCTCCAACAAGGTTCCTTTCACGGTATAGAGTCTGGAAGCGGCTGGCTCAGTGTGCAGCTGATGGTGCTCTTCCAGATAGGAGGGAGAATGCTGGGCTTGGTTTGTATAGGAGCCTCTCTGCTGACTACAGCAGAGTGGGTGAGAGGAAGTGTGAACATGTTGCTTTTGCTACACAGCATGTGCTGAGATGTAAAAGCTGTTTTCCCATCTGGAGCTTGCAGCTTCCATTACACCAGAAGTGTAACAGGAAGTGCAGTTCGCTTTCCTTTCCTTGCTTTTTAAATAACAAGTGTATATGGTGGGAAACTGCCATGGACTTAAGAACAAAAGCCATGTTGGATCAAGCCAATGGCCCATCCAGTACAACACTCTGTGGCACACAGTGGCCAAAACCCAGGTGCCAATCAGAAGGGCCAGAATTCCAGAAGTCTCCCCCACTGTTTCTCCCCCCCAAGCACCAAGAATACAGAGCATCACTGCCTCAAACACAGTGTTCCCACTATACCTTGTGGCTAATAGCCACTCATGGACCTCTGCTCCATGTGTTTTTCCAGTCCCCTCTTGAAGCTGTCTATGCTTGTAGCTGCCACCACTTCTTGTAGCAAGGAATTCCACATGTTAATTACTTACAGAGGCATCTTCAGCTTCCTATATGGAGAAATGAATAAATCGAACCTTGGAAGGTTCTAAGATTATTGCATTATTATTAAACATCTGTGGCAAATGTATGCAGATGTAGCACGACCGGGTCCCCTGTCCCTGGTTAGAGGATCCAGGCACCTTGTGGGCCTTCATGTTTTCTGTCCCTCCTTCCCACTTGTATGGGAATGTTCCCCCTTGGAGGCACCCCTGGTTTATGTTATACTTAATACTAACCATGGTTAAGATTAACTTTGAAGTGGGGGGGGAAGAAATACATGAGACGGCTGGGGACTCCCAAAGTCTTAGCCATGGTTAGGAGCATTGATGTGTATCCTACCGCTCCGCTTCACTCAGGAGAGTTGGAAACCGGTTTCCAGCCTTCCTAAGGCAGAAGAGCCATTTCAGTTGGAGGAAGGCTTCAAACTTTGCTGAGCAGACAGTAGGATGCAGACCGTTATGTCAAAACCAGGCCTACATTGGGAAACCGTGGTTAAGTTCCAAGATGGTCCTGTTGAAGTCACTGAACAGTTGCTCTGTCTGTGGGTTCCCAGGGACAGGTACCGCTTCTTTGCCTGCTTGATGAGAGCACGTTTCGATGAGCACAAGGATGAGAAGGATATGGTGAAGGCGACCAAGCTGCTAATGGCCGCAGAACAGGAATTTTGGGAGAACCAGCATCCTCAGCCCTACATCTTCCCCGATTCTCCGGAAGGCACTTCTTATGAGAGATACGACACCTACAAGGTCAGTAGGTGACAAGGCACCTCATGAGCTGGCCACTGCCGCATTGCAGCTAAACAGCTTGCTTGGGATCACAGTTTGAATGGTTTAAAACTTAAGACCTCCAGCAGCCAGAAGGGGAAAAGAGATGGCTAGATGTTTTTAAAGGAGATAAGATGGAATGGGGAAGAGGAGTGGAAATACCCTGTGGTACGAGCAGTCTTGAGGCCTAACAAATAAGAGAGTTGGGATGAATTAATAGTTTAGAATGAAAAATGAGGAGAAAGAAAGGAGGACCGAACTGTAAAAGCACAAAAGAATTAATTACCTTACCTGCCTCCATCAGACTCCTAAAACAAAAAAATCGGAAGATAAAATGAAAATAAATAAATCCAGAGGGAGAAGAAGGTTGTGCCTATTGCTGGCATGGCTTTTGTCGTTACGAAGACTGGTTCGCTGCAGTGTGTATGAAGACGAGCAGAAGAGAAGCCTGCCATCAGGTTCCTTCCACTATAGTTCCTGTATTCCCTCCCCCTAATCTGATTTAAAAGGCACTTAGTTGAACCTCAAGTCTAAAATTGCCGGTGGTGGAAAGCACTGTCAAATTGCATCCAACTTATGGCGACCCCGTACGGTTTTCCAGGCATGAGACGTTCAGAGGTGGTTTCCCATTGCCTGCCTCTACATAGCAACACTGGACTTCCTTGGTGGTCACCAATATTTCCTCTAAGATGAGTGTGAGCTAGCTCACAGTTTATTAGCCTCCAGATCACACATTTTTTGTCCTAGCTCAGGAAGGATGGCTCCAGAGCAAACTAATTTATGCAGTAGCCAAATCGCTCGCTCACAACTTTAATGCCAGTAGCTCACAAAGTAGAATTTTTGCTCACAAGACTCCACAGCTTAGAGGGAGCACTGGTGGTCTGACTGCTTAGCTTCCCAGATCTAATGAGATCGGGCTTGCCTGAGCCATCTAGGTCAGAAAGTTGCTAAACCCATGCTCAGTAGGTCTATCAAAAGGAAGAAATGGAAGTCCTGTTAGAACTGTGCTTGCTTCATGCCCTCAAGAGGACCCAGGCATTCCCGTTTGTCAAGACTGTGTTAAATTCTTGCCTGGTTTACAATCTGGCAGGTACCTGAATGGGTCCTAGACTTCTGGCATCCTTCGGAGAAGGCGATGTACCCAGATTACTTTGCCAAGAGAGAGCAGTGGAAGAGGCTGCGGATGGAAAGCTGGGAGAAAGAGGTAGGTGCCGTAGTAGAGCTGGGCTCCCGTAGGGGATTCAAGCATGCTACTCAGGAGACCTTGGGTGGAGAACTCTTAAAGGAAGTAAGATACATGGATGTTGCTGTGTTCATAAGCGCTTTGTTTGCTTGGCTCCATGGTGCAGACTCCAGATAGCTCCATGGCCTTGAGGCCTAGAAGCTTTATTGCGTTCGTGAAAGTTCAGAGTCTCAAGACCTGTAAAAATCTGCACACGGTTCCATTTCCCCTCAGTCTGGATAGCTAGCTAAGCTGCCAGTCAGAAAAGCGAATCCCCTCACTGGCAGTCTTCAGGCAACAGCTGGACGGACACTTGTCAGGGATGGTTTAGGCTGATCGTGCAGGGGGTTGGACTAGAGGGCCTGCAAGGCCCCTTCCAGCTCTGTGATTTTGTGTTGGCTGGTCTGGGTTTCTGCCTCAGGGCTGAGCTTTAAGCGACCAGGAACTGTTTGGCTGATACGAGGTACAGAGCAAGTCATCCCCAGTGATGCTACCAAAGTCTGCAGTTTCTGAATGCGAACTGCAAACTCCTGCGATTGTTAATGCTGGGCTCCAGACCGAGGAGGAATGGCTCCCATTTTTGCCTTCCTGGCTAACCATCAAGCCAGAGAGTAGGAAGTTTTTTGCCACTTCCTACCCTCCCCGATGCCTGTGCTACTGCTGCAGCATCGTAGAGACTAGGGACTAAAGGAAAGCTGCATTTCTCAGGGTCTCTGTTGCCTGGAACTCTGCTGTAAGCTACATTCCAGATACCGGGGAGGAGAGAACTTCACCACTGCCAACAGTTTGGGGGCTTTCCAGAGGGATTGTAGGGAGGGATTCTGATCCCACAGCAGTCCCAAGGATCTCCTTCAGAGGTGTCTGAACTGATTTCTGAATTTAAGGAAATAGCTCTGCTAACTGGACCCAATTCTGAATGAACCCCCACCTCAGATATTTCCATAGCACAGGCAGTAACCATTAGTTAAGATAACAGCTATATAACAGTCACTGGAAGAAATAAGCAGCCCCCCCAGGTTTCCCTGCAGACTTGGGTGGTGGGGAGCCACATTGGGCAGTTCTGCGATTTCCCCCGGGATGTTTCTTTTTGTCTAGATCCAGCAGCTTCAGGAAGAAACCCCGCCAGATGGCCCTCTGACCGAAGCTCTGCCTCCGGCCCGCAAGCCAGGACACCTACCTCCTCTGTGGTGGAATTACGTAACTGCGCCCCGTGAACGTCCAATGTAAAAAATATCACTCTACACAGTTTTTGTGAACGGGGTTACACCCTTCAAGCAGGAACGAATGTTAGCATGCAGAACTACAGTAAATGCGCACAATAAAACGAAACCTCTTGGGTGCAAACTGGGGTCTGAGAAATCTGTCATGTCGCCTTCTGGCATTGCAGGCCAGCACCCCCATGGGGCAGAAGTTGTAAACAAAGGGTGGGGGTGGGCAGCAGTCAGTCTCCAAGAGAACCTGCTGGGGGGGGTGGGAGTGCTTGCTCTTTGCTCATGTACAAAGTGAGAGGAGGGGGCCATTCAGTTATACAATCCCCCACTTGTACCATACACCTTAACAAGTAGTGAGGCTTCCAGCTATGGCACAAACTGGAAGGGAAGGATGTGTTGAAAAACCAGTATGCCAGGAGCATTTACCACACTATGGAAACTGCGTGGATAGTGAGTTTGAGAGGGGCGCACAAAAGCACCCAGTGGTGCACTAGCTGCTACAATGAATGGTAACTGTATGAACTGTCTTTTAAGGCTTCTAGAGTATGTTGCAACATAACTGCACGTTTCCTCCCAAATTAGATTCCTGTTGAATGCAGTGTGAGTTAAGCATTAAGCCCAGAGTGGGGACAGATAAGCCCATTCAAGCAGCTGTTGCTTGAAGTTACTAGTATGTGCTGTTGTTCAGTTGCACAGTCGAGTCCGACTCTTCGCGACCCCATCACGCCAGGTCCTCCTGTCTTCCGCCGTGGTTCGGAGTTTGCTTAATTGCGTTGCCTTGGATTTGGACCGAGATCATTCTGTCTTTTTTGAGATCCTATCCAATTGTATCCTATCTTTTAAGGCTTCTAGAGTACGTTATTACATAACTGCAGTTTCCTCCCAAATTAGATTTCTGTTGAATGCAGTGTGAGTTAAGCATTAAGCCCACGGTGGGGACAGATAAGCCCATTCAAGCAGCTGTTGCTTGAAATTACTAGTATGGCCACTGTATATATATCTCACCCATGGTGTGCTGTGTATTCAGAGCAAGACCAGATAACACACATCACAAAAATGCTTCTGTGGTGTAACGGTGATCCACAACATGGTGCCAGCTGGTGGGGCTCCTGGTACCCTTTGCTACTGGGGAGAGTCAATCCTGGCTCTCTTCTTCCTCATTGGAGCAGCAGAACCCAGAACAACTACTGACTTCAGAGGGAGGAGGAGGCTTGGCTTGCCACTTCCCAACGTGTTCTGATTGGCCGCAGCCCTCCAATGGCATTCTCAAAAAGCCCACAAGCCGAACAAGACTGGGGACCTCCTCACTTAACTTGTCTCTGCCCACCCTGCCATGGAAGCTTGTTGGGTGACCTCTGGCCAGCCTCCCCCTCAGCCTTCCCGGGTTGGTTGTGAAGAGTACAATGTAAGAGGCTTCAAGACTCCATTGGGGGAAACAGTGGGGTAGAAATGAAGTAAAATAAAAACCAGCACCAGTATCTTCACAGGTCGAAATTTTAAAGGTTGCCCACACCTGCACTAGGTAGAGTCCATGGAAATTTGAGCAGTTATCTAGTTGGGGGTGGGAGAAGGCCATAAATAGCTTCAATCTATTCAATCCATAAATAGCTTCAACCTTTTTGAGCCTGCAGGCACATTTGGGCTTCCGACACAGCGTGGTGGTTGCAGTGTTCCCTCTAAGCTGAGTTATTGTGAGCTGGCTCAGTTTTTTAGCCTCCGGCTCACAGCTTTGATGCTAGTAGCACACAAAGTAGTTTTTGCTCACAAGACTCCACAGCTTAGAGGGAGCACTGGTAGATCCAGAGGAGTTAGCTGTGTTAGTCTGTTGCCGCAAATAGTAAAAAAGCCCAGTAACACCTTTAAGACTAACAAAAGTGTGGTGGGTGCAGCCCCAAAATGGTTTCTGCAGAAGGTGGAGCCAGCCACAAAGCAGCTACCATGGCTTACCTTCAGACACACGGTCAAGATCCTTGTGCTGTGGTGGAAGCAGCCGCCAGAGGGATGTTCTTAAACATTTTCACAGACAATCAGAAGCCTTGCTGCGAAAAGCCCCACCTACTTTATAAAAACCCTTGATTGGGCGTCCGCAGGCACCCCGTGTTCTAGGCTCTCTAAGAAAACATCCAGGCTACGGAGGGGGGGGTGGGGCTTCTTCAACCACAAAGAAGGTTGGGTAGAACATTATTGGCGGTTCAACATTGTGAAGAAGAACGCTGCATCATGTTTCTTTTCCGATCGTGGCGTTTAAAGGGGCAGCAGGGGAGAAAGATGACGACTCCGGAGAGGTTTATCAGCAGGTCTTTATTTATAATAGAGGCTGAAGCAATCATTACAATGTAGAAGGGCAACACAGTTAACAGCAATTCTTTTTTTTTAATAGCAGTTCAGAACAAAAACGGTGCATGTGGGGAGAGGTCAACTCTCAGTACGAACTAGCAACTAAAGCACAATAACTTACCATTAGAAACATTTTTTTTTTTAATGGTGACACTGCTTTTACAATAAGCAAGGAACACAAAAGGGGGAAAAAGGAACTATTTAATGTGGTTTGTCACGTTCTAATGTTGGATTTTGGCAACAGTTCAATAATAAAAAATGTAACCAAGAGTAATTCTAGTGTGTAAAAGAACTAAAGAGAGAAGCAGTGCTTCGGGGGCACAGCTGCTTCCCAAAGGTTTTCGTCCCCGTCCCCTTAGACACACTCTTCAGAGGTGCAACCAATCAGGAATGTCTCCTGCAGAAAACCCTCCTTCAACGAATGGGAGAGGCAGGAATATAGCAGAGCCCTTGTGAAACACCCCGGTTCTTCGTTCGAAAATGAAACCTGCCAGGAAATCCTCTGGGTGGACCGCATTCTTGGTCCGGCAAGACTTCATTTCTTAAAAAGAGTTGTTTGTCGACGGCAATGGGGGATTTTGAAGCATCATTTGCAGAACGCATCAGCTAGTTTCACCAGCTGGCGGGGCTTCTACCGCAGGCACCGTTGTTTAGAAGGAAAAGTTGTTTTTGCAAAGGAGAGAGCGCATCAGTTTTTTTTTTTTTTAAGGATCATGCTTGGTCGTTTGCTTCTGAAGCCATAACATTAAAAAAAAAAAGAGGAGGTGTTACGCAACACAGCAGTGTAAATGTATATAGAACACGGTGACTATACAGTTTTACAATACATCTCAACATCCAATGCAGTTATGTAGTTTTAAAGCATAAGAGGTTATGTAGGCAAGATGGCAGCCGACTGGAAAGCTCCAGAGAGCGGAGGAGCATGTTGTGCGCGGATGTATGACCCAGCTCCTTCCACGACAGGTGGGCGCATTTTTTTTGCAACCACAAATACACAGGTCTGTCGTCTTCTTATCCCGCTTGCATTACTCATAGAGAGATAAGGCAGAAGGTATCCATACAGATTGCAGGATATATATATTTTTTTGAAACGTCATTTTTAAAAAACCCACAAAACCAGAACAACCTGTGTTGTCCGAGCTGTGCACATTTCTACCGACCCTGTGAAATGAGTATGTCACAGCCATAATTTTTTTTCATTTTAAGAAAAGAAAGCCCCCCCCCCCCAATCTATAAATTTGTCTATTAACAGCTTCCCCAAAATACAGTGTGGAGAAGAATAAAAAAAAAAATAGTGGTCATTCTCCCCTTTCCCTTGTAATAAATAAAACCAAAATTCTGTTTCCTCCCTTCCCCCAATCCCCTTCCCCAGATATCTTATTATTTAATTAGAAGGCCAATCCAAAATGCTATGGGGGAGCCCCCCCGGAAACGTGCTGCTAGTTTTACTGGAATTCCCAGCTGGTCGCCGGTCTGATTTATCAGCAGTTTTTCTCAATATTATTCTGGGGCTTTTTTCAGTTTGTTAGTTGAGCCGCCCAGCCTGCTGGGCATTGCCAGTAAAAGGTAAAAAGCTACAGAGTAGAGAACCAAAGTTTCTGCTGCTGTAGACTGTTTAACAAAGAAACAGAAAACGAGTGGGGAAAAGAGTCCAGATGGTCATGCTTTAAATGTTCTTTGTGCAGTCCTGAAGAAAATGAATACAAAACAAAAGAATCCAAAGAAACAGTTCCACAGACACTCTTCTTGGGCACGCACTCCGAACGCAGCCCCCTTAGATATTTCTACGGGCCAGTGCAGAAAAGTTCCTAGTGGCTAGCACCCAAGTGTCTTTAAACATCCTACGGAAACAACACTGCAATCCAATATGGCTTATTCAGACGCACTTACCATGAAGCTACGGCTAGGCTACTTCTTGTGCAACAGTAAGTTCCCTCCCCCTTTGTCTAACCCCATCACCCTCTCTAACCGCTCTGAGGCTGTCGCTCTTCCACTATATATTGCTTTAATCAACCAGCTGCTGTTTCCTGCTTTTGAGATTTACAAGTATTTGCTTGTACTTCTGTGAGGACCTGCTCTTCACCCAGGCCACTGTAAGTTAAAACTAAAAAAAAATCCCCTTGCTTTTGTAACAAGGTGCTCTACAAAAAGCTTGTGAGAATGAAAACACATTGCGACCTCCTATCGACGTCCTCCCTCCCCTCCCCCCCCGTCCCAGCTGAAATATTTAAGCTACTTAAACGTTTATTGTATTCTTCTTCCTTCTACGCATGTAAAACTTTTACAAAGAGTTATATAAAAAAGTGAAATGGGGATTTGGCACCTTCAGGGGAAAAAAATTAAAAGGAAAACTCAGATTTTTTTTAAAAAAAAATTGCGCAGAAAAATAATCAGCAGTATTTACAAAAAAAAAAAGTCAGGAAGAGGTTGCGCCTTAAGCATTTTAAGTTTGCAAATCCCTTCTCCTCCTCCACCCTCCCTGGCCCCGAATTTTTAAGGAGAGCTTTTCCAGCTATCTGTTAACTGAGCATCCTATAAAAACTTGATTGTACAGTGGAATGGATAGAGAGACCATTTCATCAGATAGTTCAGTCTCTGTTGCGTTGGAAACTCTGGCAGTGGTCCAGCATCTAGGAAATTCGGGGGGCTGAACGATCGTTCGTGGTGGTCTTCTTCAGCTTAACGCCCCGCCGAATGGCATTCAGCATGTCTTCACCTTGGGGAGGCTCCCCGGGGCTCTGGCCTGCTGACTGAGGGGCCGGCTGGCACGGGGGAGCAGTGAGACTTGGGCTCTCCCTTTCACTTTCTTCTCCCTCGCTTTCGGCGGCTGGTTGTCTCTGCTCCTCAATGGTGCTCGGCTTCTGGCTTGTGGGTGGAGGGTTGATGGAGGCCTGGCCGCTCCAAGAGGAGGACATCCCTGCGACCCTGTGCTTGCCCTCTCCTGCCTCCGGGCTTTGTTCAGGGCTTTCTTCTGCGCTGCTTGGCACACTTGGCAGCCCTCCTGGGATGTCCGGCACCGTCGGGGTTTTGACAGGAATCACGGGTGTCTTGATTGGGATGGGCCCCGCACCTATGGTCCCGCGTCTGACGGCCGGTTTGGTGGAAGGGGTCCGTCTGATGGTTGCGACGCCAGGTGTAACAATCACGGGCCCCAATGTGGTCGGGAGGCCGGCAGTTGAAGCAGGACGCTTGGCATGGAACATTCGGCGGTACGACTGGCTGATGTCACTGTTTCTTGGGATCGTTGACGACTTGTCGAATTCTTGCTGCTCAGTCTCTTGGTCACCGCTGACAGAGAAGTAATCATAGTCTGACACTGGGGAGAGAAGGGAAAAAAGGTAACTGACGTCATCAAGCCAAGCCGAGTGAATGCCGTCTGGAACACGTCTAAGTCTACAGCTGAACAAAAACCCCGTCGGCTGCAAACGTGTGCGACGTAAAAAGATTTATATGTTGTCCTCCCTTACCCCCCTACGAATCATTTGTTAGTCCCTTGTTAATATGTGTTTACGCAAATCGCTCAGAGCCAGCAGCTCTGCAGGATTGAGCAATTAATAAATCGAAAGATATTATTATCATCATCATCATCATCATCATTATTATTATAAATCAGGCACCCGCTGTAAACAAGGCTTCGAGTCCAGTCTTCAGAGACCAACAGGATTTGGGGGGTATGACCTTTTTGGAGCCAAAGCTCCGTTAGAATCTAGCTGTTCTATTGCAGACCAATACGGCTACCCTCTGAAAACTGTTGGGATGGGTTGTTATGGTAAAATTCAGGGGTGGCCAAACTTGCTCAGCATAAGAGCCACATAGAATAAATGTCAGATGTTTGAGAGCCACAAAACATGAACAAATATTATACGCACATTTCTATTTAAAAATATGCAAATTTGCTTTTTATTAACATGAAATAAGACCGCCAAAAATAAAAACAAAAGGGGTAAAAACAGATATTGTTAATATTTGTTTGTTTGTTAATGATATTTATTTGTCTGAGAAGAGGAAGAGGAGGAAGAGATTGGATTTATACCCCACCCTTCACTCGGAGTCTCAGAGCGGCTTCCCCTCCCCACAACAGACCCCCTGCGAGGTAGGTGGGGCTGAGAGAGCTCTCTCTCAAACGGCTCTCGAGAACAGCTCTGAAAGAACTTGTGACTGACCCAAGGTCATACCAACAGCTGCAAGTGGAGGAGTGGGGAATCAAACCCAGTTTTCCCAGATTAGAGTCTGCACACTTAACCCCTACACCAAACTGGCTGGAAAGAATGAAAGAGTGGTGGGGAGACAGAGAAAGAGAGAGAGCAAACAGGAGGGAGAGAAGAAAAGTATGCCCCTGCATCCCCAGCTGCCCTGCCGGGAGTCGCACAATATGTGTGAAAGAGACACATTTGGCTCCCGAGCCGCAGTTTAGCTACCCCTGGTATAATTCTTATGTCTGCAGAAAAACGAGAACTAAAACCAAGTCCTGTGTAGGATTTTAGGTTATATACTCAGGTTATATACTGAGATGAGCAAAGCATGTAATCATCCTGGGCGGGGGGGGGGGGGGGGGCGAACCGGATAGTGTCGCACCTGACAACTCTCAGCCCAGAGAGCTATAGGGTTGCCAGCCTCCAGGTGGGGCCTGGGGATCTCCCGCTTTTACAACTGATCTCCAACTGACAGAGATCAGCTCCCCTGGAGAAAATGGCTGCTTTGAAGGGTGGACTCTGTGGGATTGTACCATGCTGAGGCCCCTCCCCTCTCCAAACCCCACCCTCTCCCGGATCCACCCCCAAAGTCTCCAGGTATTTCCCAACGCAGACCTGGCAACCCTAGAGAGCTATCATGGAAAATTTCCTCTGGTCTGACACCCCGTAATTCCCCTCTGCATTATAGGTCCCATTTGCAAATTACTACATGATCCTGGGGAAACAGTTTATTGCCCACATGCTCCCTGAGCACCAAAGAAATTGGCAGGAAATTTGAATAAGCCAAGAGCAACTCCCTAATTTCAGGACACCCCCCTTTCCGTTAAAAAAAAATACTGTGATCAGAGCAGCAAAAAATTCGGTAGTTCAAAGAGAAAAGTGATCACAGATGTCCGCAAGACTCTGCTTGGCCAAGTCTTGTCAGGAAGAGGGGGACACTGATCGAGCGCTCCATGGAAAAACACGGTCAGTCGCCATGCTTCTTCAAGCACGTGAGTGATCCTGGGCTAAGAAAAGGGTGGGTGGAAATCGGCAAAAGCGTTCCAGTCTCTCAATATATTGCACTGCGCTCTTGAAAATCGTAATAAATTAAACTGCAACCAGTGGGGAAAAGTTTTTTTTCTGAAGCAAAATCCTTGCTTTTTAATCTTGTCTTCATCAGCCCAAGTTCAGAGTTATGTCAGTTCTTACACAGACCCTCTCCTCCCATTTGGTTGTGCAAATCGCCAAGTCCTATCCCCAAAGCGCTCCTTGGTGCTTTTTGTAACTCCACTTCTGCGCTTTCATGATCTGGGCCATCAACGAGCAAGCCTTTTCCACTCCTTGGCCATGTGCTCCTCTAGATGCCATGCTATAGGGGAAAGTGACCTGTCTCTATGGGGGAGACACCTGAAATCTTTCGAGCCATCAGGTAACGAGAAACTGCTTTTATTTAAAAGAAAAACCCTCTGTATTTTTCAGCCTCAAGATTTCCTCATTAGTTTATTTGTGTGTACAGAAAGAATATGCCATCCCCTAGAGAGTAGAAGTATCTGAATAGTTTGCACCAGGCCAGCCGATCATTCTGCTGCACCTAGTCTCTGTGCATGTGGAAGATAAAATTCCACCTGCCCGGCTATAGTTGATAGGGTGTGCATGAAGCAGGCTTGTGAAGGAAAATAATCCAGAGTCTCTCACAGAAACAAAATTGAAGAAAAATGTTTTTATTCTACTGTAGGGCACTTGGCTCCAAAGGTCTGGGCTGGATGCATAACAGGGGGACCATGGTTAATTCATAAATAAATGGTGGTGGGGCTCACAGAAGCTACGAATTCCTGTCCTTGAACCTACAAGCCTTTCCCCTTTATGAGGTGAACAGATTTAAGGGGCCAAAGACGACTGCCTGTCCACGGTTTCTGTTCAACTACTCACAATGCTGACAGAAGGTCAGACCAGAACCAACGGGTTGAAATTAAATCGGAAGAGTCTTTGGCTAAACATTAGGAAGAACTCCCTGACAGTTTGAGCGGTTCCTCAGTGGAACAGGCTCCCTCGGGAGGTGGTACGCTCTCCTTTGGAGGTTTTCAAACAGAGGCTAGGTGGCCATCGGACAGCGATGCTGATTGTGTGAACTTAGGCAGATCATGAGAGGGAGGGCAGAAAGGGTTGCCTCAGTGCTTAGTTCTCGTGGCCCTTTCTTACAAGCCCAGGGAAATGCTGATCGCCACTCCGGGGTCAGGAAGCAACTTTTCTCCAGGCCAGTTTGGCTGGAGATCCTGGAGGCTTTTTGTCATCTTCTGGGCATGGAACAGCGGTCAATGGGGGTGTGGGAGGGGAAGTATTTGTGCATTTCCTGCATTGTGCAGGGGGTTGGACTAGCTGACCCTGGAGGTCCCTCCCGATTCTATGATTAGGAGCTGAAAAACCAATCACAAGCTCGGTGCTTTATTAATCTTACAAATATTACTCCATTGTTTGTGACAGCATTGCACTTGCAATTAGCTTTGCCATGGCCTGCCCTTCAACCCCACTGCTTTTCCAAGATGCTCTTCATTCCCACACAGAGGCAGCATCTGGGCTTTGCAAAAGCCAGGACGCTTATTACAGCCAGTGCGACGTAGTGTGTCAGCCTGGGATCTGGTATATCCAGGTTCAAATCCCCCCCCTGTCACGGAACGGCTGTGGCTCAGTGGGAGAGCCTCTGCTTTGCATGCAGAAGGTCCCAGGTTCAACCCCTGGGATCTCCAGTTAAAAAGGACATGGTAATAGGTAATGTGAAAGACCTCAGCCTGAGACCCTGGAGAGCCGCTGCCAGTCTGAGTAGAGAATACTGACTTCTTCACCCAAAGAGTGATTAACACATGGAATTCACTGCCACAGGAGGCGGTGGTGGCTACAAGCATGGACGGCTTCAAAAGGGAATTGGATAGGCTTATGGAGCAGAGGTCCATCAGTGGCTATTAGCCACAAGGTATAGATAGGGACTCTGGGGCAAGTGATGCTCTGTCATCTTGGTGCTTGGGGGGGGTCAACAGTGGGAGGGCTTCTAATGTCCCGGCCCCAGTGGTGGACCTCCTGATGGCACTGGTATTTCTGGCCACTGTGTGATACAGAGTGTTGGACTGGATGGGCCTTTGGCCTGATCCAACATTGACATCTCTTATGTTCTTATGACCCAGATAGACCAGGTCTGACATGGTCTAAAGGCAGCTTCTGGTGGGTGTTCATGGAAGCTAGGTGGGTTACCGTGGGCCATGCACACCCAGCCTCACCTACCTCACAGGGTCGTTGTGAGGACAGAATGGAGGGGAGGGGAACGATGTGGACTGCTCTGTGTCGCCACTTGAGGGAAAAGGCGGGGGGCAAAATGAAGGAAGCCAAACTGCAACATGCAGGAAGGCTTCAGAAGAATGGCCCAGACTATAGTTCAGTACATCTCTTT